AACTACAGACGCTGCGCGCTCGGCTGGGCAACGCGCAGCGTTTACAATAAGAGTACATACAGTGGATGAACAATCTCCTGCATCAGTTTGAATCGATCAAGTCCTATGACTGGGATGATACCGACATAACGCCACCTTTCGCATAAAATAAATCATGGGTGCGGCCATGGCTCAATGGGTAGAAGAGCCTTTCCACCTGGGCCGGAGAGATTGAAATTCCCAGCCCAACATGAACTCGACATGTTGCGGGAGACGCATCACCATGGTTGATAGAAAAAATATGGTCTAAGAGGAGCATCTAACCAGAGAGAAAGCTAGGAACAGGTTTGCGCTTTCACAGTTGCAGTGCTGAGACGTCAAACCAGTGGAATTGTCCCGCAAGAAAGTGCATCAGACGGGTGTGGAGAGTGCTGGCAGAGGCGAAGAGGCGGTGAGAGACAGACTTACTGGCAAAGAGTGTCATGGGCTCGTCTCTCACACGGAAACGGGCGCACATGAAGCCCTGGACACTAAGACGTCCACGTTGGACAGGCTAATGCGAGAGGAAAGGTTCCATGGAAGCAAGCGGGGGACCCGCGGGCTCCGAAGACAGTGGGAAAACGGGTTGATCTCATCTCCTAAGGGGCGGCTTTCAAGATTGACATTTTGCTGGCTGAACGGAAATATGAAAACACAAAAAGGAAAAACAAGGGAACCTAAGCATGCCAGAAAAGCAACTAACTTTCGCTGGTGAAAGCGGACCTTCAAGAACAACCAATATTTTGACCCCATTTTGGCCCGTCAAGCATGTCCGTATTGTACTTGGACCCTTAGTTGCCCGGTGACCCGAAAGAAGAGGAAGAACCCAGCAAATAAAATTCACTTCCCAAGTGGATTGGTCAGAGAAAAAACAAAAAAAAACAACTCCCAAACTGCTTGTTTACCACTAAACTCGTCTACCCAAAAAGGACTCCAGTCCAGGAATTCAGAAAGTGCGAAATATTGGGATTTCACAGTCCAGTGAAAACCGACCTCTCCATCTCGAAGGGGTTGAAATCGTCCAAAAATCCTCCGGCAGAACAAAGAGATGTTCGAAACATCGGCTACCAGGAACAACCCTACCGCTTTTTGGACAGTTGGAGATGGGAAAAAGAAGGTAAGTTGGGGGGGTGCTGCTCTTCACCTTGTTTGGTCTGGCCCAAAGGTATCCTTCAACTTCCATTTGCTTCAGCCCCCTGGCAAAATAAAACAAATCCAGTAGTGAAATCGATTCCCTTTAAAACCAGCAAGGGAAAATATAAACCATGCTCTTAAGCCAATTTTCGTGTTGTTCCTCGGAACTAGTCCGGCCAGGCCGCGATCTCCTCATTGGAGACCTGGCGCGGCACCATGCCCTTCATCTTCCGCACCTCCGACGGGTCCGAGGCGAGGCGAGGCCTTAAACCATGCTAGGGGTACCTTCCTGGGTCCTCCGCCTCCGGAGTACTTCTCTGTTTTTTCCCGATCTCCGGGTTCATGAATCGAACACTCCATCCCAACTGCCATGGCGTATGGAGATTCTGGTACCGAATTTCCGCTTCCATTCTTTCCAGTCCGAATCTTTCGAGAAAACCTCCTTTGAAACCCAAAGAAACCGGCCGTGGAAAGAACGATGGTTGAACAGAATGGTTGGAAGGAATCAACCCCTACCATGGTTCAAACACTCTTTGGGTTTCCTTGGGGTCCCAGCATCTATTTCATCTGCCCTAAAATTCAAACTTCCATCAAAACAATGGCGGTTCATATAACCACCATGGTCTACCTAAGACTTGTCATCATCCAAAGTGCGTCAACTTTACCTCTCTTTTTTTTTTTTAAACGGGGGTGAACCCCAAGGGCCAGTTGCAAAACAAACGTGCCCACGTCCCCTTCGACCATCCCTCTTCGGCAATCCCTTTGTTGGCCTAACTCTCCGACTCAGAGGTCCAACAGGTACCTTTGTTGGACGGCAGTTACACAACGCTCCATCCTGACTTTGGACCTCCTCTTGTCGTGTTTGTTGCATTTGTCGTATGTTTTTAAAGGGGACTATCATGAAAACTCGCCTAGCACCATAGAACAATCAATTTTGTTTCAAACTTGGATACAATTTGGACGTTGACCCCTGATGTTTACAACCACCCCACCCGCTGGCCCAAAAAAACACAAAACACCTAACAAGACCTGGTAACTCCCCGGCTCCCCTTCAAAGAAATTTGGCTACCCCGCCTCCGTTCCACGGCTCCCTTCCAACTGCCAGACGTGGTTGCTGTTGACCCCTCTGCAAAAAGTTTGACTTTTGTGGGTGTAATGGAAAACTCTCTGCCTCGACCAAAAAGTTAAAGTCCAAAGATCCGTCCTTAAGGGGGGGATGTTCCAAGGGAACGAGGGGGGGTTAAGGAACCCTATGCAACCCGAAAGGGGCTCTACCTCCCCTCGAATGGGATTCAGCTTCCCTCCAATTGGCGGTGGTCTGGTGGTTTTTGGTTGGACCCACAAACACATTGGACTCGGTTGCTTTCTGCTCCCCTGCTAAAAGCTTAACTATTAGCGGTTTAATGGAAAACCTATTAGTTGGCAAAAAGTTAAAGTCCTAACATCCAAGCAACATGCACCAAAGAATATGCTGGCTGTTCCTTTTGGTTTTTCTTTAAAACCCAACTCCGAAAAGACTTGTACCCATGGTATCTTACCGGTTTACCTAAGTCAGTATCAGAACCCGATATTCAAATGGTCTGCCCAAAACCGCCCATTTATGGCTGGGATTGTCATCTACCCGAGCTCTGAGCAAGTGGCTCAAGTCTTGGAAACCATGCGACGCCAGTGTTAGTACTATACATTGGGAAGCATCATCTAGGTCCTCCAGTAGAGAGGTTAGAAAAAGGGTACCAACTTTTTTCATTTTGTCTATTTTAGTCGGGGAACCCTCCCAACCAAAAAGGGGTGAGAAAGGGCACCTAGCTGGGGGACCTAGACATGGAACCTGCCAGGGGGGGAAAGGGACCCAATTTTAGCAGTTAAGTGGTTGGATGTCCCACTAAACCACAATAAGCAAGAACGTAACATGTTTTTCATAACCACAACCATGTTCCAGGGGGAAGCATCATTACAAGGGCCTCGTCGAGCTTCGCCACCACCTCGGGGTCCACGCTGCGGTCCCGGCCACGGTGGATGAAGATGCCCCGGCCGTTCGCCTTGATCCTTGGCACCGAAAAAACGGGGAGACCGATTGATCCATTTGGAAAGCAGCTGACCTCCGGCCAAAAAATATATACCTATGTTCCCACTGTCATCAAAACCCTGGGTGACTAAGAGCTTTCTAACTTGGGTGTGTGTGTGTGGGTCAAAAGCAAGAAATGATTTGGACTGGGACCTCCTGGTAGGTTTCGGCTTGCCTTTCGGTCTCCCAAGCCAACCTGCAGTGGGTACAAAGACACCATGCTCGGAGTTTGGTGCTCGGCTTGCTTGCCACTCACCAGGCTTAACCCCACTCGAAGCTGTATGAGTGGGTAATACTGTTAACCCCGGATTAATGAACCTCTGGTTTATTAATGTGGGGGTATTCCTGGTTTTAGTGGGGATTTATCACTTTTGGAGGGGAACACCCCCATATGCATAAACATTAATAAACAGGAGTTTATTCATCCGGGGTCAGCATTAAATTAAGCCAGAGTACTGACAACTTCTCTCTTGCCAAAAGGACCGGGAAATAACAGGTGGACCCTTCGGGCCATGACAACATATGAACCAAACTCAAGGAACCAACAGGTCACAAGGCCGATAAGCTTTGGGCAAATGAGACTTAGCAACACCGCCGAACGCAACACTTGTGCCCGCGGAAGATATCCTCAATACCCCTCGCCTTTCTCCTGGGCGTAGCATTTTTGTGGCATTGCTTGCTGGTTTGCAGGTAGCATGGCGGGAAACACAGGTTGCACCTCTGCCGAACATTCTCAGGGAGCCGAAGGAACCACTTGGCGATGATTGGCCTTGCCAGGATCTAGGTGAAGGCTTTGCGTCCTGAACCGTGGGGAAACCAAGGAGGTCAGATCGCGTCACTCAACTCGCTTACAGCAAATTCATGTCCAGCCACGGATCTACAGTCGCAGCAGGAACCATGAACATGGGGCATGCAACAGAAGGGGTGACTGAGTATGTCTTTTCAGGGTACCTCTTCAAGCGTTGCTTCTAAAAGGAAACAACCAGGGAGCCAATGCTACTAGGTCCTCCAGTAAAGAGGTTAGAATAGGAGTACCCTTGTTTTGGTAGTCTAGGGGAACCCTCCCCAAAAAAAGGGAGAGAAGGGCACTACTGGGGGACCGAGGTTATGTGGAGTGCTTGCGCCCCTCGTTTTGTTTTGTTTTTAAACCGGCGCCTTGCCATGGCTCTTGGGGTCCGGAGTCTTCAACCCGAAGCGGCCCTGCTCGCAGAGCCAATCGGTGAGCTCGTAGGGCCCGTAGTAGGTCTTGGTCTGCTTGTTCATGTCGTTGGCCGCCTTGCGCTGCTTCCAGAAGATCTCCTGAAGCAAAACACGGGCGCGAAACGGAAGCACGCGACTAACACTAAACAGACACAAGCAACCAAGCAAGCAACCAAGCAAGCAGCCAAGCAACCAAGTCTTCAAGTAACCAACCAACCAATCAGCCAATCAACCAATCAACGAAACAAGCAGGCACAGAGGCAAACACACCAGGCACACCGTGGCCGTGTCCATCTCCTGGCCCACGAGGTCTCCGAGGGCCATGGGGCCCATGGCCATGCCGAAGTGAACCGCCGCCTCTGGCGCCGAGCCGCGGCTTTTGGATCTGGTGGGAGCCAGAGGTTGCGCCAGAGAGGTGAGGGCTTAGGCTACCAACTTTTTTGTTGTTTGTCTAATGTAGGTACAAAGGCGCTTGAAGGAGCGCTTCTTGCGGAGAAGAAAAGCTCGAAGGGGGCGTTGCACATGAAAACTGACAGGTTTTTGGAGCCTGGAAGACCATGTTCCTTGTAACTGGGGCCCCTTGCTGATTTCCATGGTCGAGAGGCTACTTCTTGGTTCCAGGCTTGGGGATACCAATTTGGGCCTTTGCCGGTTCGGCTGTCGTGGACTTCGTGGAAGGAACAAAAAGGGACTGGACTTCTTGGGGACCGGGCGAGTTGACGGCGTTGATTTTGCCAGCCCAAGGTTGTTCAGAGGGGCTGGACCCTTCGTTGAAAGGGAACAACCGCCAATAAGGTTGCCTCAACCGCAAATCTGCATGTTTGTGCGACCCTGGAACACCCAGCATTTCCTTTGTTACCGATTTATTGCAAAGGGAAAGCAAATCACCCCGGCCCTTCATTGAATCACAGAATTGGCTCACAAAAGCTGCATGCCCTCCCTCAAGATGAGGGATCGAACCAGCAGGCTTGTAGTTGTTTGGTGTTCCCGTCAAAATCAAGCTCTCCCTCAAGCATATTGACCAGGACATGTCTATTTGGCTTAAGCCCGGAAATCGTCTTCCCAAGAACACATTTGGCTGTGCACAGGCTCAAAAAAACGGTACCAAATGGAGCCCTGGTAAGTGGAAACATGGACCAAAACCTGCGTAACCACTCCTGTTTAATTTTGAGCCACACCCATTTCAGGAACTCGGATATGGAGAATTGACTCACCTTCTGTGACACTCCTGCCAATGGCCATCCACTTAGGCCTTTTCGTACCTAAGAACGCTAAGGCTTGCCTAATACTTGTATGGATTCTAGGAGAAAATCCAAAAGAAACGGGTGTTTCCAAAAAAATAAGAAGAAATATTCTAGACCAGAAGAAACCCACACCCCATAAGCTGAATCACCCCCCCCCCCCCACCCCCCGCCCCCACCTGGTCCACCTGCTCCACCGTGGCGCCCTCCTCCAGCAACATCTTGGCCTCCCCGGCGTAAGGCGCCAGCATGCGGTTCCCCACGAAGCCGTCGCAGTTGCCCACCATGATGCCTCTCTTCGGATCCAAAAGGTGTCGCTTTAGATCCCAAAATGTGTCTCTTTACATCCAAACTTCCTGTCTTCAGATCCAACATGTGTCGTTTTAGATCCAAAGTTTTTCGATTCAGATCAAAATGATAGATTTCCATGCAAAAATGATGACCACATTCTGGATTTGCGTGGATTTCCAGGTCCAAAAGGTGTCGCTCTAGATCCGAAAATGTGTTTCTTCAGGTCCACGTGTTTTTGTTTTTTCTCAACATAGCGGCACCGCTTCAGTTCTCCTGTTAAATTCCCTCAAAACAACCCCAAAAGGGCTGCCCCCCGGAAATTTCTCTTCAGATCAAAATCTGTCTCTTCAGAGGAACCCTGAAAAGAGCAACCCTGAAGAAAAAACGTCGGACAAGAATGGCGGCCACTTTTTTTATCATCTGGGTTTGTCTCAAAATAGCCGGTTTCCTTTCCTGTTGGATTCCCTGAAAGCAACCCCAAAAGGCGGTACCCAAAACAAACAACCACCCCATCAGCTGGTACTTGAACAGCTCCATTTTGCTCGCTCGTTGTGGGCAAATGGTCCTGCTCGTTAAGCGGGCGAGAAGGGCGACGACCATGACGGCGACTGCTCCTTCGCGTCCTTTTTGGCAAATAGATGGCTCTGGTAGATGATTGAACCCAGGCAAATGCGCCTCAACTTGGGTGTTCTGCCAAGTGAGTAAGTTATTTCCCCTGCAAAAGAGAGAGAGAGAGAGAGAGAGAGAGCTCTGGATCTTCAGCGAGGTTTTCCGCCCGTTCGGCATCCTCGGCGTCGTTTTTGTTGTTTTGGTTTTGTGGGGTGAGGGGGGGAGGGGGCGGGGCTGGATTTTTAGCAATCCCTTGAGGATTTAGGGGCGTGTCCTTGGGCTATTCCAGGCATATCAAGACGTAGGCCCCCTCAACTTGGATGTTCGTTGCCAGGTTAGCATAATTACCCACTGAACGGAGGAATGGAAATCCAACCACGAAGCACTAAAAAGCCAAAAAGCTACGGAACCGGATGGCTGGGAACCGCCAAGTTTTTCGGGTCGGAGTTGCACTTCTTGTTGATGAGCTTTCCCATCGCCATGCCGGTGGACAGAGTCCGAGTGGAGGATTTGGAGGTGCGCACCTGGGGACGAAAAATTATCAGAGCCGCAAAAAATGCAACACTTGGGTATGTGTCGTTTAGACCTTGAACGCCCAAAATGTCTGTTTCAAGGCTGGACACTTTTGGGCTATGTCTTGTTTTAGGAGTGGGAGCCCCCAACATGGTGTCGGTTGTCCTTTTGGTTTCCCTTTACAGCCAAAAGAGGGTAGCCTCACACACCGACATGTGACACTTTGCATACCGATAGACAACAAAATACAGGGGCGGGGATGGGTGAACCCCGATGAGAATCCTTGAGCCACAAATCCAAAGTAGTGGATTCTATTTGTACTTCCACTACTTCCATGTGTTCAAGCCGCCTCTCGCTTTAAAACCAACAACGGAAACTAACAACTATCCTTTTCGGCCAATGGAAGTTAGGTGACCCACTCTTGAATCCATGAGGGTTGCAACCAATAGCTACCATGTCCTCAGGGGTGTTTGCCCTAGAGAAGGCCTTTGCCGTGGCACTTTTGCATAACTTCAGATGGTGCGCTTGAGAATCCTATTGTGGCTGGAGGTAACATTCTCCGAAAAAGGTTCCAAAGGCTTTCTGGCGCTTCTCTCGCTCACCTCGAGGGTTTAGTGGCACCCTCCTACCAAACATGGAACTTGCCAGGTTAAATCCTCACGGAAGATGGCCTTCCAGGACCACGAGATTAAGATGGCCTAAGTAGATCGGCTTCTCTCTGAGATTCGCCTGGGAATTTTGTGCTTCAGAGCTCGGTTGCCCATTCGCGAGGGAACCTAAACCAGCTCAGCTTCCCTCTGATTGGTGGCTCGCCGCCTGGTAGTTTGGTGGTTAGGGAGTGGTTTCACATCCACCCTCTACAAGAAGCAGGACCCCTTCACGCCAAATCCAGACCACTGGGCTCCAAACCACCAAGAGGGTGCCTGAGCAACCGAGGCTTACTGTTGACCCCAAATGAATCAACCGCAATTTATTAATATAGGGGGTGTTCCCCTCCAAAAGTGGTCTGAATCGCCAGTTTCCCCAGGGAGAATCACCCCGCTTATGAATAAACAGGGGTTTGTGAATCCGAGGTCAACATGACTCAACAGAAGCCACAGCGCGTTCTCCAAGAGCTGCATGACATTGGCCGGCGAGAAGAAGTGAGTGCCCATCACACGGCTGGGATCCTCCAAGAAAAAGATAACATGCGCGAGCAGCCAAGTGCCACGAAAGCGAAATAACAAACCACCATCAACAAAGGTTACGAAACGTTTGGGGCCTCACCTTTCACCCCAGTGAAAGAGAGAAGCCACCAACACAGGGGCTTGCGGCGCTCGGCACCACTCGGTACCCGTTTTGTTAGTTGTTCGAAGGGAAAGCAAAGAAACGCCTCCTCTTTTTTTGGGGTGAGGGGGTCTTCCAATCCCTCTATGGGTGTTTCAAACCTGATATGTTCAGATTTATGATACTAGTGTTGTATTACATCATATCGGTGGAGACCCCATTGTCCGCTCAAACGACCTGAAAGCACCATGCACATGGACTAATTCCTGGATGAAGGACCCAACTTGCTTTGGATGCCACAAATATTCTGGTTCCTCCTAACTGGGGCTCAAAATTGAAGAGCCAAAGGACCACAGGTTCTTTGGCAGGGTAACACATGGCCATGGGTCCAAAGCCCGTGCCTCCAGTGAACATCCCAATCCCCACTAAAATAGGTTCTAAAATAAAATGGGATCCCATTGGTTTTGACCCACCTGTTGGGAAATCCGATTCCTATTTTCGATTGCCCCTTCCAAGTGTTGACCTTCGCTCCTTCAAAACCGCTGAAATGTCGTCGATGTTCAGGCCGCTGGTGTTGGTGCAAATCAGCGCGTCCGGCTTCGTGTTCTTCTCGATGTCTAAGAAGACCTGAACAAAACAAACGGCGGACCCGTGGCTTGTTGGAGTCATGGAGATTTGTCTCCAAATGGATGTGTCCTTTTCTGGGGGACACCCCCCCCCCACTCAACAAAAGGGCTTTGGTGTCCCTTTAATCAACCAAAAAAAAGGGCTCCCTAATGGAGACAGGTTCAAATGGAGACCAGTGGCTTCCCCTGTTTTCTTCAGAAATCCTGGAGCCGCAAGCGGTCTATCGCCCATCCCAGCGAAGGATAGGGCTCCATGGCGAACCATAGACGATGGAGGAATCTATGGCGCATAGATTTCTTTACGTCTGGTCACTGGGGACCCTCCCACCAACTAACATGGAAGTGCCAAAAGGCCCTTTCCAAGTGGAAAGTAGTCTTTCTACAGGGGTCTGTGCACTTCCATGTTCGCTGGTGGGAGGGTAACAGTCATTGGCGACGAACAGTCACTGTTGTTGGCCCCTGATTAATAAAACCCCCGAGTTATCAGTCAGGGGGGCTCCTCTGGAACAAAGGATTCCGTTAACAATACGTGCGTGCGTGTGTGGTGGGTGTGTGTCTTTGTGTCTGTCCGCGTGTGTGTCTGTCTGTCCGTCTGTCAGTCTATCCACATGATACACTAGGTCCTCCAATAGAGAGGTCGAATAAGTTGGTACCAACTGTTTCTGTCTATTTTGGTAGGGGAACAGGGTGAGAAAGGGCGCTAGTGGGGGACCGAGTGATACATATCATTTTTGTGTACACCTTCAGCCACGGTTCAAAACCAATGGTACCATTTTAGGATAGGTGCGCCACCCGTTTTAGAACCTATTTGAGCAGTGTTTTTTGGGTGGTTCGAGGCCTATACACTACTTGCATGCCTACACAAAGGCCTACGCAAACCTACGCGGCCTGCGAGGGGCGCCTACGCGAGCACAAGTCAGCCTCCAGGTGCCTACGCGAATGCCTACGCGGGCAAATGTCGAGTTCAAGTGTCGAAGTGCACTGTGGCAGCTCCAGCTGGAAAATCGCAACTGTTCAGTACATGTGCAGTTTTGGCAGCTCCGGCTCTAAGATCAGAATTGCAGTACAAGTGAGAAGCCCGCATCTGTCCAAGGATCTGGCTGCCAGAAAAGGGCTACGTACCCAAAATGCCTTGAAAGCCTACGCGAATGCCTACGCGGGGCCTATGCGGAGCCTACGCGAAGACTGCAGAACAATCAGAAGGAAGGCAAAAGAAGCAAATTCATTTATATTTGGCAAACAGCACTACTGAGTCATGATTTGTTCAACAAACGCCTACGCGAAAAGCCTACGCGAGGGGTCACACAACAGCCTACGCGCTGAAGCCTACGCGAGCCTACGCCCCCAACCAGGACTGCCTCCGCAAAGTACATGCAGTTCCCTTTTTGTATAAACCCTTTCATTTGATGAAACACCGCTGCTCATTTGAGTCGTTGGATTGAACGATTTGGGTTTTGACCCATGGCCACCTTCAGCCATGTACAAACCGCCATATCTTGGTTGCTTTCTGCTCCCCTGCTAGGAGTTTAACTTTTGGTGGTTTGATGGAAAACTAACATCCCTTGGCGAAATGCACCAAAGATAAATGAGACTCGCCTGCTTCTTCAAGTCCATGATCTCGGGCACGGCCTCGATGACCATGTCCACATCTCGGAAGTCCCCGTAGTCCAGCGTGGGCTTCAGCAGACTCATGTACTGCTGGTACCTTGTCTTTTTGTTTTTTTCTAATCCCAGCAACACGCCAAAGACTCGAGAATCCCTGGCCTTCAGCACGTGCGCGTGTGTACCTTTTCTGTCTTTGTGTGTTGTTGGTTGTTCTTTTTTCTTTTTCTCTTTTTTGTGTGTCGTTGTGTAGCTAGGTGTGTCTGTGTACCTAGGTGTCGGGGTGTCGTCACTTCTGTGTCTACATGTGTGTCTGGCCGTCTTTGTGCTCACACGTGCGTGATCGTGCGTGGGTGGGTGGGTGGGTGGGTGGGTGGGTGTGCGTAAGAAAGGCTGGAAACAGTAGAGCCATAGTTGTCCTTTTGCAAAAAATGGACGGCAGTGGTAAATGGTTAGCACCAAAGGGACTCCAGTGGAACCTATTGATTTTCAAACAAACTTGCTGATCAAAAGGACACCTACGCTTCCATTTGCAAAAGTCCACTGGAAAAAACAAACAAACATTCAAATCTGTCCGGTAGTGATAACTTCCCTTTAATACCAACCGGGGAAAATAACACGAACATTCGTTTCAGAAAATGGAAGCAGGGCGAGGTCTGATAAGTCCCAGGCACTTGTCCTTAGTCAGCCTGCCTTTCTTCAACTGCCCGGCCCACAATGACTCGATCTTCTTCATGCCAGCATCCAGCCAGTCCTGCTGGGCGTCCTCCGGAGGTTGGCGGACAGGACTCGAAAGCTTGCCCTCCCACATTGCTGTTCAACCTGACTGGGCTTCCTGGAAAATATTCCTCTAAAAGCGAGCCACTACTGTGTTCAGTTGATGGGAGGGTAATTTAAAAGCTCACCTGAAGCCTTCAGGCAAGCGAACCAACATTTCAACTTGGACCGTCCGGAGGAGGCTGCGCCAAAGCACAAAAGGAAGCCGGGCCAGCCATGCCAGAATACTTTGTTCAGATCGCATGCAAGTTCTCGCGAAGAGTTCGACAGCCGACCGCCTCTAGCAGCGAGCGACATCTGGTTTGAGCAAAACTGACAGATGAAATTGGGGGAGAAGTAGTTACATATGACTGGCCCAACAAACGCTATCGAAACTAGTACGATGTTGAACCCTTAGGCGTCTTTTTGCAAAGATAGATGGCACTGGCAAATATGGTTAGAGGCAAACTGACGCCAGCTCCAGGTAATTTCAACCAAGCTGACCTCAACGAACATCGGTGGAATCCTTTGTGCTCCGTATTTTGGGCGTGTAAGCTTCTTGAGGGATGTTGAGGGTTTCTTTTTCTGGCTTGGTCTTGGACCCAGGACAAAAAGAAAAAACACTACGGCTACAGTCGCAACTTTCCAGGTTAGACGGTAGGCATATGTCTCCCAAACACAAGGCAAAGCACAAATTACGAATGTCTCCCGAAGAGGACATGGGAAAATAGGTTTCAGCCCTAGTTTTTGCAGACTTCAAATGGACCATCTGAACGGGCTGCCCAAACCTCCTGTGATATTTCTTTATACTTGGGGCACCCTGCGGACATCATTTGTGTGGGGATGGAACAGTCCACCAAGCCGTTTTAGAGGACAAACACACCCCTTCCGTTTGCTCATAGCCATGTTGTCAGAATGGACAAACTCCGTTTGGGACCTCTTTGCTCAGGCACTTTGGAAAAGAATGTTGCCCATGTTAATCAACCCCAGTTTATTTACAGGGGGGTGTTCCCCTCCAAAAGATGGTCTGATTCCCCACTAAACCCAGGGAGAAAAAAAAAACCTCCCCCTATTGACAAACTGGGGTTAATATGGGATCAACATTGAGGTGTCCGGCTCATTCCATGGGTCAAATTCCCGCACCCCCAGTGAACATCCCAATCCCCATTGAATTAAACTAAAATGGGGTGCACCTACCCCAAAATGGGATCCCATTGGTTTTGACCCACAGCCATGTGCACAGGCCCTTCTCCCCGAAACGAGAAACCAAGCCCCGCCTTGAGCACCACGGGCACGCCCTTCTGCACGAAGCACATGGCGATGCCGCCGCCCATGAGCCCAGCGCCCAGGATACCAATCCTCGAGACTGTGGGAAGTAGGACAGGGCTGGATTTCCCAAACCACTTCATGTTAACCCCGGATTCATGCACCCCTGGTTCATAAATACGGGGGTGTCCCCTTTTAGTGGGGATTCAGACTGCTTTTGGAGGGAATTCACCCCCTAATACTGGGACTATTCATGATGGGTGAACATTACAATTGTCCCTTGCTTTTCATTCCTGCCACTTTTGGAGGTCCCAAAACGATTGGGTTTTCATTCACAGCCCTATAACAACCTCTCTCTAAAGAGAGATCTCCGGCTTCTCCGTTCTGATGCGCCCCAAAAACTAAAAACTAAAAAGAACGGTCGCCGAGGCGCTTCTTCAGTGGCGCCGGCTTCTCATCAATGCCTGGCACCTTCTGCGCGAGGCGCTCAGAGAGAAACAAGTGCCGCAGGGCCGCCGACTCCACGGAGAAGACCAATTTGGTGAACTCCTCCATCTCCACCTGGAGGCCTATGGCGTCCCAAGAGCACATGTTCTTGTGAACTATACATAGATAAATACAGTTATATATATATACACACATGTGTGTACATATTGACACGTATGTACAAATAAATATACATATATATATATATACACATATCATATTCATTAATACACATGATGTATGTGTTGAACTTATGCATTTGTAGTGGTTTACCTGCAATTTCTGTTGGGACTCGACTCAAGCAGGCCTGAACCGTAGTGGCAACCAGGATTGTTCCTTGAAACTTTCTTATTGGAACAATATAAGGCTGCCTCCACAAAAAAACAGTCAGTCTCCCCTTGGCATGCCAAGATTTCCCAAAACCAAGGAAAGGGAGCCGGAGCGAACAAACAACGCTACCAATGCGCACCCAAACAAATAAATCGAATCCTAACCTGAAACTTGACAGGGGCAGATGCTGTCCCACCCGCCAAAAATCACTCAAGAACCAGTGGGAGATGCCACCGGCCCGTGGTGCGGCCAAGTCTTGAACAAGACAAACAATCAAAATGCACCGTGCCCTCAATAACTGTTGTATGAGAATTCGGTCCCCCTTCGGGACATCCAGAACCATACTAATTATGTTCTTGTTTTATTCGTTGAGGCGCCTTGCAAAAGATTACATTGTGAATAATTGGCATTGCAAGCCGACCTGTGCATGTCTCAGAACCTTTCGCGTTCGTGAAGCTTCACTTGTCACTTCTTCCCGCAAGTAATCTTCCTCAAGCGGTCAACATGCCGAACTCACCAGCTCCATGTAATCAGAGGGTACTATATATGCCGCCCAAAACAATACACCCATTCAGCACCCAGTCAAGACTGCAGTTTCGATCTCAAGCGCAGGCCTTCCCGAAAGCTCTTCTTGGAGCAGGCAGCCTCGAAGCACTTGATGATGGACCTGCCACACAGGGTTCAAAGCCCCCACACACCCAACCCTCCCGCCCTCCTCCCCCTCAAACTGTCCAGGCGCCTGCCTCGCTGCTTGGAACCCCTCCCAACCACGTCATAGTGAAAAAACAAAACTGGTTGTTGGGTAGGATCAACCCCCCTTTCCCAACCACATAAGAAGATGTTCAAGCTCGGCGTATTTCGCAAATATTTTTTTTCAGCGTGCTATCAGTGAAGCGCATTGCCGTTTCCATGACAAAGACATGCGATAGATTTGCAAACTTAGCACGCCCTGCTTTGCAGCTCATGCAGCCGCTGCTGCATCCAACCCTCCCTCCGTGTTTCAGCGTTGTGTTTTTTCGCGTTTGTTGCTTTTTGGGCCCCCACATATCTTGGCGGATTTCCCTTCGGGTGTGTGTTTTGAGCGAGCTTCCGTTTGGCAGTTTAGAACCAACCACCGCAAGGTTCCCTGTATAGGAAGGTTTAGTGCGAAGAGGCGCCTCGAGATATTGAAAATTATTGATGCCCCCCCCCCCCTCTACACAGCCCTAGTCCAGAACCCCTCCCGGCAGCCTCGCCGCGGCACTGGGACCTATGATGGTTTCTGGCTCTCTGGAGCACAGGCGTGAAAATGGGATATGGAATCCTTTCTGCATAGAGTAGAAACATTTGCTGTTGCTTAGAGTCATAGACTGCGCAGATTCAGGCAGAAGCATTTGCCGCATCTGAAATAGCCCAAGAGAGCCCAGGGTCTGGTTTGCATTGAGTCGGAAGAGAAATCCACAATAATTTCCTTGCAGTGCTACACTCGTACTGAACGTCAAGAGATTTGAGCGGGTGTCAGCAACAGGAAATGCTCCACCTTCGACGAGCCGGCCGCAGAAAGGGCAAAACACAAAGCTCCCTTGTTGCGTTTTCTGCCTCTGTTGCCATTGTTCTTCTCAATCCGCAACGTGCCTGATGATGGAGCCGAAACAGCACATTGGTGACCACTCAGTGTCACAACATCCACACCCAAACCAACCACCAGCCCCAACCCAACTCCCCCACCCACTCACAAACGAGCGTTCGTATTGAATCCTTTCTTTTTGACTTGGGGCTAAAAGGGTTCCACCCAACCCCCCCAACCTTCGCACCTCGGAGCGATCATCAGCGGCGCCGCCTTCACTGCGGTGTTCAGCCCCGACTCCAAGGCCCCCGCCGCCACCATAAACCTTGAGGGAGGCTCCGACTCTCTTGGGCACAGCCCAAGGCGCCGTTTGTGTTTTCACAAAAAGAGAACATATGTCCAGCTAGAAAACGGTCTGGATGCGCTTTTTGCGGATTGATTTCACCTCTTAGTACCCGTTCAATATTCTACAGGGGCGGATCGACAAACGCCGCGCCCAAACCGTTTTCTAGATTCCAGCGATAGATGCCCTTTAAACGAATAGAGAAACATAACTCATATTCATTCATTTCAGCAGATGGAAGTTTTTTGGGGAATCGGCCATCAGGACTTTTGTCTAACATGGGGCCCAAGACTTGTGTTTCTTCCCCGAACGAATGCAAGTGGAACCCCTCTTAGGATCCGCTTCCCATAGGGGTCGGTTTCTCTACCAGCAACCCCCCACGACAACCATCCCCTTGGTACTCTGCAACGAGCAGTTGGGGGGCTGCTAGTCGAAGATGGGTTTTTGGGTTCTTGGACTTGGGCTAAACAAATGTAACCCTCGCCCCCAGGAGATGCTGGAAGCAAAGGGCGAATTGGGAAAGTAGGAAACCAACCGAATAGGCCGGGTGGAACGGCATCCAAAAGGATACATAAGCAACCTGTTGAAACAATATATAATTGAAATGCATACCGGTTGAAACAAGCATTTTTTTTGTCGAAATCCAACTTTTGAATGAAAGGAACCAAACAAAAAGAGCGATCTATTGGCCTAAGGTACCAACCGGGCCCCTTTAAGTGAACATGTTGCCTGGCGGGGTTCTCATCAAAAATCTCTGAGGGCGGGAAGCCCTGTAATTCACCAGAAAGAAAGGAGCCCTCCCTTTATGCTCCTAGAGCCACTTGGCCCAGTGCCCGCCTGTTGGTCTTCGGCACCTCTCGCTTGGAGATGGGGTTGGGTGGATGCGACAGAGCAAACTCCGCCGCCTCTTCCAGCACGTCCTTGGCAGCCACCAGGTCAATGATCCCGTTCTTCTTAGCCGCGTCTGCCTGCCAGCGAACGCAAGCCCAAAACCAGCATAAGGACTCTCCAAGTGACCTGCAAATAGAGAGCTCGTTCTACCCAAAGTTCAGCTCGCCATAGGCAAACGGTGTGTGTGTGTGTGTGTGTGGGTGGGTGTGTGTATTAGCGTCTTTCAGTTCACAGCCTGGCGAGAAAGGTGAAACTCGGAATCGTAACCGCAAGGAATGGTAGGGGTGCGGCCCCCCCAGTGAAGTTGAAGATCTGTCTGTCCTGCTTTTTGAAAGACATGAAGGGGGAACCCCTCAAAGCAAAGAAACAACAGAAACAAAGACCGACCCAAATGGTGTTGACCATTGTTTCTCTTTAAATTCTTTAAATGTGAGGCTGGTTGAAAAAAATGCACGTTGCCGACCGCCGACAATGATACTGGGCTGGTTTACGCGATGGGACGCGCGGGGTCTGCCTTGAGGAAACAGTCCCAGACTAGGTCCTCCAGTAGAGAGGTTAGAATAAGGGTACCAACTTTTTTTCTGTAGTCTATCCTAGTAGGGAACCCTTCCCCCCAAAAAAGGGTGGGGGACCTAGCAGATATTGGCCACCATTCACTGCCCCACCCCCTCCCATTCTTCTACAGGTACCACCCCCGATTTACGAACCTTTCTTTCCCGAAAACCACGAGAAACGCCCGAGACAAGCAGCTAGTGTTTTTTCAAGACTTCGCCATCTCAAGTTTACCTGTGAAAGGAGCCTTCATCGCGGGTGGGGTGACAAAACCACAAAACCCTTTTGTGTGTTCGCTGTTATGATGGTTTGAAGAGAATAGGACACCAAGCCCAAGAATCCTACGGCCCCCATCCACTGCCCTCGTTTTGCGACGCCTTCCCTGCCATAGGGGTCCTTCCGGAAAAATGATGGTTCCGGTAAAATTGATTCCAGCCAACCCACAACCAGCGCCAACTCGGGGCGCTGCTTTTGCGGGGTGCTTTGAAGGCCTCTTTCAGCTGACCAAGTTGCCTGCGCGGGTGTCACAAACAGCCCTTCCCTATTTTCCGCGGCCACAACGGGGCGCGCCCTGCGCCAATGCAAGCCTTTGAAGGCAATCAACCCTGGGTTGAAACATATCGAACACCAAGCTCCGTTTGGTTTCCCCAAGGGCGCCAGGGATTCTCACTTCCTGAGTGGCAACATTTTGCATTTGTTACTCAAATAGTCCCAAAAAGTTTCCAGTCCAATCATGGCAACACGCAAGCCACTAAGAAGCGAATCGGAGATGTTCGGTGATTTTTCCCAATGCAAGCTGCCTTTCCATAAAAGAAGTGACGGCCTCCCCTCCTCCCGCCCACGCTTGGCTTCGCAAGCCCTGCCTTCAAAGGTTTGCCCTGCAGGATCATCTGCATGGCCGTAGGCAACGGCGCCACTCGGGGCAAGCGCTGAGTGCCTTGCGCCCCAGGCAGCAGGCCCAGGTTCACCTCTGGAGTTCAGCGGTTTTTTCCTCCTCCGACATCCCCCTACGGTAACCAAAAAGAGGACGTGTACGGCAACCAAAAAGGCAATGGGGGGGGAGGGGGTGCGGATGTGTTTGGCGAAATGTTGTTATTTTGTTTGCTTTATAAGTTGCTCTACCTCTTTGTTTTCCTCCCGGGAGAGTCTCTCACCAAAACCGTCTTCCCACGCGTTGATTCGGCTTCGGCGGCACGAGTCGATTCCGCCTCAGGAAAGCCCACGGAGGAGTTCTTCGCAGCCACCCGGTAGTGGCAGGCCAAACTCACCTCCCAGGTGTGCTGTTTTGTTCCACCGTTGGATTGAATTTATTTACCAACCTTCGGTTTAAAACAACCTCCAGTTTATATATATATATATTTAATTTGCCAACCTTGGTATGGTTTACATTTTGATTGAGCAATCTTCAGTTTAAACAACCACGGATCGAAACAAATGACAAAACGATCTGATAGACTTCCTGGGTGACGCTGAAGGAAGCATCTCGGTTTGCCACGATGGACACCCTGCGGGTTTTAACAGAATCACCCTGCGGTTGTGGATGGAAGCATCTGCTTGGTTGGAAAAGCACCTAACTGCGGGTTCCCCTTGAAGCAAACCACAGGCGGGTGGTTCATAGGGGCTCGGGGTTCCCAAATTGTCTTTCAACCTCTTTCTGATTCTGCTCAAGGAAAATAACACAACATGTTTTGCTAAAGCAGGGATCCAACACCTGAATATGGGGTCTTTGAGCCTGCATATTCAAGGTAGGGGTCCCAGGATCAACTTTAAACCTTCGAAAACTATTCGCAGACGTTGGAGGGCTGCGAACATGGTAAGGTTGAAACGTGTTTCCAGCTTTTTGTTTGAACCTCCTTTGAGTATCCTAAAGGATCCAGCCTCAGGCTGACTTCACAAAACCAGGCCACAACAGATCTACGGTAATTCCAAAACATCTAGTTGATCAACAAACGTGACAAAGTTTACAGAAGCCACGGCAGGAACGACTCCATTAGAGGCTGTGTCAGAATTCACGCCGTCGCAGTCCAGGAAAGTCACTCGCTTTGTGACACCTCAGGTTCCCCTAATGACCAGGGTCTGGTTGCTCAAACACGTCCCAATTGCAACCCACTTCAGGATCTGTCATCCAGGTTCAGAAAGGTGAAACAGCTCAAGGGACGTTGGTGATAACAGTAGGATTTAACATGTTTCCGGTTCACTTTGATCACAAGGTGTCCCTTTTGCAAGGCGATATAGATCACTTTCAGAAATCAATCCTCCCTTATTAACCCACCAGGTTGATTAATCCAACAAGTTCAAAGTACAGTTGTAATAGATATCGCTCTGTAACTTGCCGGGCAAACTCATGAGTACAAAGTGGTGTTCATTCCCAACATGGGCATGTCTTTTTGTGAGGGTACTGCTTTTCTGGTGGTTTTGAAAGGAAAACTAAAAGGACAACAGCCATTTCGCGGGGGGTCCCCAAAAAAGATACCCAACTCTTTGAATTCCCGAACCAGCAAGGACATTATCGCATGGTGAGCTCAACGTTTTGGGGCACCCCTCCAAAAGCACTGAGTCTAGAGCTGCATGTGGGGGGGGTGTTATTCCCGGACAATCCATGTAGGTAATACATACCGCAGATTTACCCTCCAATTGGGCCAATATATATTCTTCGATTTGCTTTAAGTCCCTGGAAGAAGCCACATTTCTAGTGACAGATTCCCTTTCAAACCAACCGGGGAAAGGAACATCATAATCATTCATTTCAGCAATTGGATGATGAAAAGAGGATGGGAAACACATATTCATCTCAGCAAATGGATGAAGAAGAAAGGGTTTGGTCTGGGATTCTTCAGCCCCTCCATTGATTTGCTCCGCGCGAGCGCTGCGATGGGATCGCCTCACAGCCCCCGCCCAGGGCTGGGCCATTGAGCGCTGCCACGGTGGTCTTGGGCGAGGCGTCGATGAGGTCCATCATCTCGCTGAGAGCCGCCACCGGGTTGTTCTCCTCACTGAAATCTCGGTTGCGAAATCTGATCCCCTGCAGAAACTGACTAACTTTTAGTGGTTTACTGGAAAACCCATTAGGTGGCACAAAGTTAAAGTCCCAACATCCAGCGAAAGACCGGGGAAAATGGAGGAGGACGGCAGGCAAGGGGCCTTTAGTTGTGTTCAGAGCGCTCAGCTTGGCAGACTTTGTCCGCCACTCAGCTGCGAGAGAGAGAGAGAGAGATGCGGGGAAGGCGGACAATGCGTGAACCTGCGGGAAATCTGGCGCGCAGAAAACCGCGAGTAGCAGCGGCGGGAGGTAGGTCTTCATGAAGAAGCAAACCAAATCAAGCTCTTCTGACCCTGGTGGAGTGCATCAAATTCACCCCCACTGTTTTTTCTGCGAAAGCTGTCAACCAACCTCCAATTATATCAAAGGAGACCCTTCCCCGCAGAAGAAAAAAGGATATAAACAGCAAACATGCCTTTTTGGGAAGTCTCTGGGCATCCCTCTCATTCTTTCTACTCCTCAGATCACTGTGGCTTCAAATCGGAAACCCAACCACTAAACTAACCAACCCTCCAAACGGCCGCGCTTGTCTGCCACGTCTGGGCCTCACCTCTCGCTCCTTCATCTTCTCGGCTCCCATGGCCACCATCACCGCGAACTCCGTGATCTCCGCGCCCCCGCAGAACATGGCGCCCTTGCCCGTGACCACGATGGCCTTCACCTTCGCGTCCGCCACCTCGGGGCGACTCGTTTTCTGGGCTCTCGGCGCGCTGAGCCCATTTTTCTTCGCACGGCGAGAGCTTCTGGTCGTTGTCTTTGATGGTGCTTTTTTGTTTGTATCTCGTTTTTAAGCAAATTTCCGAGAAGGAGTTGTGGAGAAGCAACAAACCCGTGCTAACATCTTAATTATTGGAGGTCTCGGGAAATTCTAGCAAAACTTGATTGGCGATCTTGGGCGGGACAGACTTGAAAAGCCATGGAGAAAAACAGAGTGTCCACAGGCCATCTACAGGCCTACCACGGTTTCGGCAAGCAAAGCACGTGGGTGTTGGCTGGAAACATCGCCAAGCCTGTGCGCCTGTGCACCTGTGGTCTAACTGCGAAATGCAAAGCTGTTTGCAGGAAAAACAGGCCAGAAGCGAGCGCAGCACAGGTCGGCTGGGTCGGCTTTGGGAGGTTCTGGTCCCGCGCGGTGGCTGCCCCTATCTGGGCTTGAGGCCTTTGTCCGCTGATAAGAAGCTTAGGTGACTGCGATGCCACTTCCTAACACAGGAGAACGGTTTTGAGTTGTTGCGCAAAATCGCACTAAGTGAGGATGAGCTGCGACGATTCGAAAGGTAATCAATTGCGCAGCATCCGCAGTCCTATAGCTTTGGGCTTGCTTGCTTGTTTGGCACCGTTCAGTTTGATACCTCTCCCACTTTGCAGCCGTGCAGTGCATCAACTGGGCTGTCCTCAGATCCCCCGCTAAATGTTATAACTGTTCGTTGGTTGAACGGACATATCCCCACTAAAAAACTAAAAAGCTAAAAAGCTAAGGGGAAACCACCAAGGCAAGGCAGTTTGAGCACATTCCGAGGCTCAGCCGCTACAGATTGTCACATTTCGGTTGTGCGAGGTCACCCAGTTGATACCAACTAGGTCCTCCAGTAGAGGGGTTAGAATATATAAAGGTACCCTTTTTTCTGTAGTCTATTTTACCCCCAAAAAAGGCAAAAGGGCACTACTGTGGGACCTAGTGTATATATATATATATAACTCTTCGTGAACCACCGCACATCACGAAGAACCAAACCAACCAAAGCGCCAAACCAAAGCACTTCCGTAGCTGGCCCAAAGAAAGCTCCACCCCAAAGAGTGACTAAAGCTCCAAGAACGGAAGTGAGAAGCTCTGGCTGGCGGCTGACCCCTCTGCGAAAAGTGAAAATGCCGTTTTGTGACCCCTGTTTCAACCAAAACCATCAGAAAAGCCAACCAAACCAGTGGCATCAACATGATCCTGCTCACAGCTCAAAGTAAAGAACCTACAGTCACTTAAGCTCAACATTCAAGAGCCAGGCAATTCTCTGGGCACTTCGCTAACAAAAGTACACAAACACCCAAACCACCAACACACCACCACTAGTTTCTTCTTGCCCCAGGCGCTAGCTTCGGGAACTCCTGCTTGAAGGATGTCACCAACTCCGTGCCCAGGGAATTCACCGGGGGGCTGTCCTGTCGCGCATCGCGGAGTCGCGCAGCGCAAGCGTGCCGAGACGATCTCTAAGAGGCCATGGGTCAAAGCCTAATCGTACACCCAGTGAAAATCTAAATCCCGACTAAAATAGACTAAAATGGGTGGTGCACCTACCCCAAAATGGTACCATTGGATTTGACCCACAGCCAGATCTCAAGGGGAATAGGGCTCCTATCTCTCACGTGCTGAGTTTTGGTTGGTCAGAAAAAAACCAAACATTTGGGTTTTACAAAATGGCCATTCCAGATGAATGTCTCAACAGATCTCCAAGGACAAATATACTTTCTGCGCTTTGGAAATAAGTTGGACTCAAAAGACTTGTAAGAAGTATCGGGAATCTCATGAGGGCATGAGGAAACATCATCCCAAACGCGAACCCTTGTCCTAGGCTGGAATTAGGACCCCAGCATTTGTTTTTCCTGGTTAGTGGAAAACAAAGGGACCCCCAAAAAAGCAAAACAACAGAAAGGGGAGCTGATTCTGGGGGAGTGGACTGTCCAGGGTGATCACGCCCACGCCATCCGGGCGCACAGCAATGGAGGCTGGCATGGCTCCTTCCACGCCAATTTGGGCACGCTTGAGGCTTGAAACAGCTGCGCATCCCATGGCGTTGTCCGGAATGGCAGGGTGTGTCTTTGGTGTTAAGGCTAGGTCCTCCAGTAGAGAAGTTAGATCCCCCAAAAAGAGCAGAAGGGCACTATTGGGGGACCTAGAAGGGGGAACCCAAAAGGACAATCACCATCTTCGGGGTTCCCGAACTAATGACAAACCTGGTTCCCGCAATGTGCGGTGTCCCTTTGGTTTCAACACTGCCCAAGGTATGCGCACAAAACAAAAAATGATTGACAAAGTCAAACCATCGATACCTAGCTGCATTGTACTTGTCAGTGCCAGCCGCGACTCTGGCGGTTGAGAACGTAACAACTATCACAATCACGCCGTGCATGCACACTCCGACACGCTTGCATCAGGCATAGACATAATATACCTTCGAACACAACACAAGCACCATAACATGAGAAAACAACACAACATAACACACATCTTGGCTTCACAAAACAAAAGGTCAACAAGTATCATGCTTGAGTTTGGAAACGCCTGCGAACCCTGTAGCCAGCATCTGCCACAATGGGAACCCGGATTAATAAACCCCTGGCTGATGAATAAGGGGGTTGTCCCCGTTTACTGGCGGGTTATCACTTTTGGAGGGAACACCCCTCTATCTATCTATATATATATATATATGTATTAATCGGACAACTTGAACCCGGGGTTGACATGAAAAACCGAGCGATAGACTCGACAAAGGCCAGCCTGTCGCACTGGGTCGATGACGCCGCACATGCATGCTACACCTGGCAGGATAAACCGAAGGCTAAGGAGACTTCAGGCTGGGGAATTGCGCAGATGAACATTGAACCCCAACCAAACATCATTTGTGGAGAATGTCCTGGGATTTTCTCGTGAGAAATGCGAATTTCAAGCGAGCAAGCCCATTGGTTCCATTCATGCGCACGAACTTCCTTCAGAGTTCCAGTCCCGGAGCCTCTCCAAGGATTAGGTTTTGATAAGGCCTTACAACAAACCCCCTTTGAAGTCCATGATGTTGGGCCCCGATGGGGAAAAATGGCTGTTTGCATTTCAAAGAGCCACTGTCGCGCCAGTGCCTGTTGATGAACATAAATCCACTTGGCACGGGGTTGATAGGTGGCGTGTCCCATGTTTCATAGGGTTTCATGTGAAATGGTGTTATTTCGCCCATCCATGGTATGGTTCCTTCCTTAAGCATTGCAATATGCAACCCGTTGCAAAATGCAGGACCATTGGTTCCGCTGCCAGAGGCACTAGTTGGCTGCGACTGGGTCCTACAAATGTTGATAAAAGAGAAAGGGAGAGACTGCCCAACACCGCAAGAACTCCGGGACCTCGTGCGGCTCCTTCTTCGGTTCATGTCTGCCTGTACAAAACCCAAAGGTCGATGCATCTGATGTCAAACAAAACACGCAAAGGCTTCCCTGCTTGAGCTGTAGGGACACCATGAGGGAAGCTCAACCCTCTTGGCGGGTGGTCACCCCCGCCGCCCAGGGATCACCTTCTACTAGAGATGCTCCTGCTGCTGTCATTCACATATATGATGTATTATATATGTGTATATAGGTGTCTATGTATAATATATACATATATATATATGTATATTATGATATTCGATATATGCATATGTATATACATATGTATATATATATATGTGCCAAAAACCTCCGGGCAGTGAGCGCGGGTCCCTTGAAATCCCCAACTCCCCGCGCCTAGGATCTTGGTACCGCTGAGCTTGGAGCCCTCCGACACACCCGCAGAGGTCCTGCCACCGAGCCACCGACCCACCGAGCCGGACCTGAGTCGGAAACAAAAAACACGTGGGTAGCAATGACTAAAGGAGTCGACCAAAAACCTTTTAACAACTCAAAAGGGCTGATTTCGACGCATTTTGGTTGAGACTGGCTATAACCTTTGTCTACCCAGGTGTTGGTTGCTCACGTGCACTTGAAAAGGGGTTTGGCGCAGTTTCGCTGATTTAGCTGACCCCTTGTCCACTTCACCATGACATACAACTTGGCTGCCTCAACTAGACTTGCTCACCTAACAACCTGCCTGTTCTACCAGCATATTTGGGTGGGTCTTGTTGAGGGTACCCTTGTTGGCTGATTTTAAAGGAAAATCACAAGGACAAACACTGAGCGGTCCTTGCCCCACAACACGGCTCATGTCTGTCCGCTTGTTGCAACAGCTCTTGTTTTATCCATTGCCGTCGATATGTGTTTGCCCCCAGCCTGCCGTCCTTGTTCGTACTCTGACAAAGGAGCAAACCTTGTTCATGTCAACAAGCATATTCATTAATCCCCACATCGGAGATTCCCCTGTGGGGAGAAAAGCTGGACTGGATGGCCAAGCGACACGTTCGAAACGGAAGCTGGATGCGGCTATGTGGGCCATGCTCTGAGACAAACAGGCCATGAACTCACGAATTGGTTGGCCTTCACGAAAGGCCGTCTCGAAACTTGTTCTGCACAGACTCGATACGCGGCCTTTTGGAAGAAATAGATGGGCTTCCCTGGAACCAATCTAACCTGCCCCCCCGCCCCCACCCCCAAACAGGTGCTTTTTTGCCATGTCCGGTGCAACCAGCAAAGCCATCGATGTCTAACTTCCTGAGGTGTTTGTCCACCGGAACAAATGAGAAAGCCTTTCCAATAGTAGAAACAATTCCCTTCAAAACCAACAGGTGAAAGTCAAAACAAAAAGATGCGTTTCAGCACTGGAAGTCTCTGCACAGCAAAAACGCAAACCGTTTGGAGAATCATGGAGATCGGACATGTCCTTTAAAAAAAAGGACATCGAGCTCGTGCTCCGATGGAGCACGGGGCTCCGACGGGTCGGCACCTGGATTTTCTATCCCCCAAACCGACAGCGAACTGCGCGGCGTCTTGAAGTCGATCTGCGCGAAGAACTGGGTCTCGCTGTTGGGGTAGGGCCTGGGCGATTTTATTTTGTTTCTTCCTTTTTTTTTTAAAAAAAAAAAAACAATGTATTGGGTATTGTTTTCACAGCTGCTTTTGTTAGGCATGTTTACGTGTTTTTTTCTAAACCACAGGGAAACAATCACAGCTCTTTTTGTTGAGAAACCAAAGGGAAGACCATTGTTGAGAGCTGGCGTTTGAAGGAAACCCAAGGGGAAACCACTGTATTGAAAGCTGGTTTTGAAGGAAGCCCACTATTGAAAGCTGGTTTGTAAAGGAAACTAACGGCAAAACCACGATATATATATATATATATATATATAATTTTCTGGGTGAGTCCTTGATTTTTGGGAACCCCATTCTACAGCTTGAAGAGCCACAGCAATCCTCCAGAATTTGCAACAAACCCCAGTCTCTGAAACCAACAGGACAACCAAGAAATCTTCGACCTGGGAAAAAGGGTTGATCTTTTGGGGCCATCACAAAAAATGGACCGACAAGGGGACACCAAAAGTTTGAGGTCGGCTTTGGGCAAGTGAGATTCGGGGGCCCCAAAAAAACGACACGCCGGACCAAAGAAACGCCCAGCGTTCGATTGTGACGGTTCAGCACCAGTGTTCCTACTCCTTACACCTAGGTGTCTACACGTCGCATGGATGTGCTATGCTGGATGAAGTGCCAGAACTCGCCTTTCTGAAGAGAAACACCCTTTGGCCTTACAAGCAGAACATGCGACGGGTTTTTCTTGGCCGTGTGTGCCAGAGTCAATGCTCCTGAAGATTGGTGAATTGTTTGTAACAGCAGGCCTGGTTTGTCCCAGAAGCTCCGTGCTTTAGGCACTCTTTGGGGGGAAACACCCTCCTTGTAAGGGCCCCCGTTTTGTTTTGGGTGGTCATACTCAAACCTTCTCAACAAGTGACAGCTGAGCGGCTCCTTGCGCGGCTCAAGCTGACCTTAATCTTGCCGTTTAACGGGTCTCAAGCTGAGATAGCCAGTTCGTCAACATTCGCATCTCCTTCGCGGGAAGTTGGTGCGCAACCCCCTCCCAGGGTGACTCCAGTTGATGGAAATCTTTGACCTCAGCGGCTTCAATTTTTGTCGCGAGGCCAAAGCCTTGGTGGGGAACTGTCGTTTGGGTCTGGCTGAATATGGCAAACCGCACACCGATGTTTTTCCTTTTGCGTAGCACTTCTGACGAAGGTGCACCGGGTGAAATAAGAAGCACGACCAATTTTTACAAGAGTAATCCATTGGGAAACCCCGAACTAGTAAGCCCCTGTTGATTAGGGGGTGTCCCTTTTAGTGGGACTTCATCACTTTTGTGAGTGAACCCCCCTATTTTCAGGACGGGTTCTTTTTATCCAAAATCAACCATGGTCAAACCAAGGAGCTGGCTCAAACCTGGTAACAGCAACTTCAAAGTTACTCTCCCCCAGGCTAAAACCGAAGCTGCCAGGACCCTTTTGGAAGCTGTCCTCAGATCTTCCGCTAAAAGTTTGACTTTTAGTGGGTTAAATGGAAATCTCCACAAAACGCTAAAAAGCCTAAAAGCTAAGGAACCGACCAAGATTTGAAGATGCTTCTGGGAGCTCTCATCTTAGTCGGGAGTGACTAAGCAAACGAAGAACGCACCCCAGCTCTTCTTCCGGCCTGAAGCTAACTTTCTCGATCGCATCGCAACCTGCGAAGACCTGCGCCGAGCGCAGCAGGCAGATTTCGCTGCGAAAGAGCCCCAAGAAGATCAACAACAACTGGGCTGCTACGAGTGAAATTGAAGATGGTGCAAAAACTTGCAAGTGAGTACTGAGGAAACTTGAATTTGCCCAGGTTTTCCAGTAGAGAGGTTAGAATAAGGGTACCAACTTTTGTGTGTAGTTTATTTTAGTAGGGGAACCCTCCCCCCCCTCAAAAAAAAAGAGGGTAAACGGGCACTACTGAGAGACCTAGTTGCAGCCGGGCTTGCCAAGGGCCAGGCACTCGGGCTCTGGAAAGTCTTCTGGATATGCACGACAAACAACATGTGAGTAACTAGGTCCT